ACACACTGGGTATCCAGGATTCACACACAGGCAGCCTGGCTCTAGACGCGGGGCTCCAGTGCCTCCGTCGTCTCAGACTGTGACTTACCTGCTCCCAACCTCAGTTTCCTCCACGGTGAAATGGGCTTCCAGATACTCACCTCGTGAGTTTGCTGCAAGGGTAAATGGCATCAGGCTTGGACCTGGGAGACGGAAGTGTTTTTAAAATGAACACCTTTGTTACCTCAGTCCTTGCGGAGAGAAGATGTGCCAACGCCCCAGGGCTCTGCCATGTAAGTTCCTGTTGAGTTGTTCAATGTTCCACTGAGAGGGGGAGAGACAAGCAGGACCGGGATCCCAGCCCCGGGTCTTCCGGAAACGGCGGGGCGAAGCCTGTGCGGCCCTCCCTGCTGAGCGAGGCGGCCTGTCATTGCCATGGGCGCAACCCAGACCCCAACCACAGTGCATCCTGCCCTGGCCCTGCCAGGAAAGGAAGCTGAGTCTGGGGTCTGCTGGGCCAGCAGGGAAGTCCCAGCAGGGTGTAAAGCAAGACTTTCCGGGCCACTCCCGGAATCCCCCAGCAGATAAAGGCGGCCCCGCCACCTGGCTCTCCTAGCGGTCTCCCCGCCCCTGCCGCCTGCCGCTATGTCCCGCCGCTGCGGGCTGCTTGCCTGGACTCTCCTCGGCTTCCTTCGACTCGGAGAGGCTCAGAAGACAGAAGCCCCGGCCTGCTGCAGCCCTATAGTGCCCCGGAACGAGTGGAGGGCCCTGCAGTCAGAGTGCACCCAGCGCCTGAGCCTGCCCTTGCACTATGTGGTGGTGTCGCACACGGCGGGCAGCAGCTGCAACACCCCAGCCTCGTGCCAGCAGCAGACCCAGAATGTGCAGTCCTACCACGTGAAGAGACTGGACTGGTGCGACGTGGGCTACAAGTGAGTGCGGCGGGGAGGCATGGGTTGGACCGGGGACCCCAGAGGCAAAGGTGTGCAAGTGCCCGCCAGCGGGACCGGTTCTAGGCCGGGTGCTGGGGCCACCTGGCTGACACCCTGAGCAGCTTACTGAACCTCACAGGGTCTTCGTGTCTTCCTCGGGTCACCGCGTGGGCCGGTGCAGGTGCTCATAGCACCAAGATGCGTGAGGGCCGGGGATGGGCTGAAATCCAAGCCCCGCTTCCCCGGAGGAAGGGGCAGACTTTGCCTAACACGCACCAAGGTGTCTGCGGCGCCTTATGAAGGCGCCCCGTCCTGATGCCTGGTGCCTTTGTTAGGAGGCAGAAAAGCAGGCTGACTCAGTGCGGAGCTGGGTTCCAGAGTCAGCTCAGCTTATTGCTGGCTGAGGCCTGGGGCAGATACCTCCCCAGCTGGGGCAGGTCCTCCCGGCTTCAGCTTCCTCCTCCGCAAAGTCAACGGGATCGCAGCCCATCTGCTCCTTAAATGAGGCAATACAGGCAAAGCACCTAGGAACTGCCTAGCACACAGGGGCCCGCAAAGCCACAGGCTATTGCCATTAGGCACCTACTATGTGCCAGCCAGTGTGCCAGATGTGGCATGGAGAACGGTGCCACCCTAGCCTCCTGGGGCTGAAAGACCAGCAAGGAGAAAGAAGCCCAGGCCACAGGTGAATTCAGACGGTGATAGAGGCGATGGATAAAAGGAAAGAGGTGAGGGAGGGTGACCTCAGGCTGGGACCAGACCCACACAGGCTCCTTGAAAGGGTGGGGCAAGGGAAGTTCCCTGAGAGTGGCTGCCTTGGCTCTGGGATCGGGGAGCTGACAGAGGAGTGCTGGTGGCAGAGGGTGCTGGGGGCAAAGCCAACGGGGCTGAGTGGGTGGGTCCCGTGGGAAGGACAGGGTGGCTGAACACAGCCGGGGGAGCGGAATGAAATGGGGAAAGGGCCGGACCAGGCAGGGCCTTGTGGACCACAGTGAGGACTGTAGCTTTTACTCCAAGATGGGAGCTTTGGGAGGCTTCCCCCTGCAGAGCAGGGACGGGGACTGGTGTAGGTACAAGAGACTCCCTCTGGCTGCCGTGGGGAGAAGAGATCATAAGGGGTGCCGGCTGAAGCAGGTCCGGGGCCATGCCTACCAGCTACCTCCTCCTTATAATGGGCTGCAGTCCAGCCTGAGGATTTCCAAGGGAAGGGAACGTTTGAATCCTGCAAGCTCTCAGACCCAGGTAGCATCAGAATCCCCTGCAGAGCTTACTGGAGGAACACACAGGTCCCCAGATCCCCAGGTCCCCAGAGTCCACTTCAATAGACCCCACCCAGGGAGCACATGCTCTCAGGACCTCGTAAGGCTGTGTTACAAAGAAAAAAAAAACCCACCCAGAGAAGTCTAGAGGTTTCCAAAGGTATTCCCAGCCCTTCCAGTTCAAGATTTTCTCAAAGAATCCAACTTCAACGTTTTGTTTCCAAGACTCAGGTGCTCCAATTCTAAGCGTTCCCATGAGGTCATGAAGGCCCAAGCTTGGCTCTACAGCCTCGGGTCCACGTCACCACATACAGAAGCAGCCGGTGTCCGGCCCTCAGCTTTTAGGATTCAGAATCTGGTTCTAACATTCTGAATCCCCTTTACATGTCATGTCACGTTCTCTCTCTGAGCCTCGTTTCTTCACCTGTAAAGGGGGCTTTTGACTGTACCCGCTTGGCGATGGTGGCTGAGGTTTAAATGAGATGCATTCATGCAACAAATGACCAGGGAGAACCAACCATCCCTGACCCCACCACCATCATGCCAGGCTCTGGGAACATGGCAGGGCCATAACCAGCCAGTCCCAGCAGCCAGCGTCACCAGGGCCAGATTCTGGGAGCTGGCTTCCTAAGCAGCAGATTCAGGACTCGAGATTTGGAAGTTCCAACATTCTGTGCATCACTAATGACACTGTGAGTGCGAGGGCTGAGCTGGCACATACTGCAGCTGCAAGGCACTGATCTTCTAGTTCATCCCCATGTGCCAAGTCAGACATGCTCAATCAGACCTGCTGAATGAATCAGCCTTAAGGATCTGCTGCCAGGCTTGGAAACCTCAAAGAGGCAGGTGCTGGGGCTCCGGGGTCGGTATGTGATTGTGACCCCAACTTTGAGTCTCTGATCCTGTCCCCCAGAGGACCCCAAGGGCAGGAAGCAGGCGGGGGCGAGGGCAGAGATCTGAGAGGCAGGGAGCTCTGAGGACCTTGTACAAATTATGTCGCTTTCTGAGTCTCTGCACTCTCAGCTTAAGATGAGGATGATAAGAGTCCCTGCCCCAGCCAGGCACGGTGGCTCATGCCTGTAATCCCAGCACTTTGGGAGGCCAAGGCGGGCAGATCACCTGAGGTCGGGAGTTCGAGACCAGCCTGGCCAACATAGTGAAACCCTGTCTCTACTAATAATACAAAAATTAGCCGGGTGTGGTGGCTCATGCCTGTAATCCCAGGTACTCAGGAGGCTGAGGCACGAGAATCGCTTGAATCTGGGAGGCAGAGGTTGCAGTGAGCTGAGATCACCCTACTGCACTCCAGCCTGGGCAACAAGAGTGAAACTCCATCTCAAAAAAAAAAAAAGAGTCCCTGCCTCAGAGGGCTGTCCTGCAAGGATTCAGTAAAACAGGACTTCCACAAATCCTCTAGGGAGGCAGGAGAGAGCAAGGCACAAGATCACATGGGTGGGGACCATGGAGGCCTGGGTACAAACCCCAGCTATGCACCAGACGGGCTGTGTGACCCCAGGGCAGGTGATTCTACCGCTCTGATTCTATCTATATAAAATGGGGTGATCAGGGTTGCCATGAGGATGAAAAAAAGGTGTATGCAGAGCTGTGCTTGGCACATGGCAGGGGCCCAATAAATGACCACAGTCATTGTTACTATCATGGGAAATTAAGGGGTGAGAAGGATGCTGGGGAAGTTGTGTGCACCAGGGCAGGAACGGAGGCAGGGTGAGTGGAGGAAGAAGGAGGAGTTCTCCTCGGGAAACCCTCCCTCACTCATCAAGCCCCCCCCCCACCTCCCCATGCAGCTTCCTGATTGGAGAAGATGGGCTTGTATACGAGGGCCGTGGCTGGAACTTCACGGGTGCACACGCAGGTCGCTTCTGGAACACCATGTCCATTGGCATCAGCTTCATGGGCAACTACATGGGTGAGTGACTGTCCAGCCAGTCGGGATGGGGGCTGACACAGGGCCCTACACTACCACTGCCCTTCAGGGAAGCCCCTGCCTAACTCTTACCTCTGTCTCCTCCAGATCGGGTGCCCCCACCCCGGGCCCTCCGGGCAGCCCAGGGTCTACTGGCCTGCGGTGTGGCTCAGGGAGCCCTGAAGTCCAACTATGTGGTCAAAGGACACCGGGATGTGCAGCGTACACTCTCTCCAGGCGACCAGCTCTACAACCTCATCCAGAATTGGCCACACTACCCCTCCCACTGAGGCCCTGCTAATCTGCCCCCCATTCCTCTCCTCTCATGGCCAAAAACCCCACTGCCTCCTCCTCCAATAAAGATGTAGCTCAAAATGTGTTCCTCAGCAGGTCCCACCACAAACCTCCCCTCCTTCTCTCCCTCCCACAAGACCAAAGCCCTCCACCCTTTCCCTCCCAGCACTCTCCTCACTGGTGCTTGGAACCCAGAGGCCCCGGCCCTGAACCAAGACCCCGGAGATCCCAGCTCGAGAGCAACATCACAGCTCAGAACCCAGAGGTCTCAGGTCAGAGCCCAGGAATCAGCACCAAAGCGGCCTGGATGTCACCAACAGGGGGTCCTGGGGGTCCTCCTGGGCAGTGAACCACGCTGCAAGACACCCCCTTCCCACCACACAGCCAAAGGCATCCTGCGCAGAATCTTTGCTTGAACTCCTTTGGGGACAGGCTGCTCACTACTCCTCCCAGGTCTGCCCTTGCACTCATTAGAGAGTGTACAAGCTTTACCTAGGCCTGAGTCCCAATCTGCCTCTGAGGCACACACAGGTCCCAGTTATACCCCCTAATTTCTCTTCCTCCACATTTCTCCCCACTCCACCCTCAACCTTTAGTCATAAGCTGAGGGGCCCCCAGGGCAAAAATGTTTATTTACAAAATGCACACATCCTCTTTCCCAGCATGCACTGCCTGGGGAGAGGGCAGGGTCAGAGCCTCACACACCTGAGACCACAGAGACAGCAGGAGGGGCGGGGCCGGGGTGGGGCCAGGGCAGGGCCTGGGCAGGGCTGGAGGCTACCCTGGCCCCACCCCCCACGCCATACCCAGCAAGTGGGTGGGGAATGGAGGGGCAGTACCCCTTCTCCACATCATGACCGCATATCCAGTCGGTTCATGTACTCCTGCAAGGCCTTCAGGCGTGCGTCTATTTCGGCCATGTCAGCCGCCTGGTGGTCCGAGCTGTACTCTGTGAGAGCAGGTGGGGGTATGGGGGACTGTGAGGGTCCTGAAGCCCCAGGGAGTTCCTGGGCCCAATATACCACTGCCCCTACTACCATTCCAACGGGTCCTGGGGCTGGGAGAGGGGATGTGGAGTCCCAGGCTCACCTTTGATGGGGACCCAGCCCCCAGAGTTGGCCAGAGATTTCTGATGGTGGCTGCGTTGCACGGGGGTGGACTTCTGGTGATGGGGAACGTAGGAAAGGGGGTCAGCCACCGTCCCTCTATTCCTGTCCCCCTAAATCCCACTGGAAATCCTGAGCCTAAGGACCTTGGGGAAAAATAAGGCCTGACATCTACTGGGTATTCATTATATGCAAAATAACCTCCTAATGTCCTCAGAGAGCCCTCACCTCACATGTGAGGTGATGCCATTACCATCCCTGGTTAACTGATAAACAAAAACTAAGGTACAGAGAGGCTAAAGAACTGCCTTGAATCATACAGCTGGTAAGAGGAGGAGTCAGGTTTCAAGACCTGACAGTGAGAAGCCAAAGCCCTAAAGAGCATCATGGGCCCCTCATTATTCCTTCTCCAATCTAATGCTCTCAAAACATGCTGTTCCCAGGCCAGGTGCGCTGGCCCAGCCTGTAACTCCAGTGCTGTGGGAGGCTACGGATAGCTTGAGGCCAGGAGTTCCAGACCACCCTGGGCAACATAAAGAGACAATACTACCCCCTTATCCTGTCTCAACCTCACCCTCCCCCGCAAGAAAAGCCTAGTCCCAGCTACTCCGTAGGCCGAGGTGGGAGGGTCTCTCGAGCCCAGGAGTTAAAGGCTGCTGTGAGCTACAATTGCCCCACTGCACCCCAGCCTGAAGGACAGAGCGAGAGCCACTCTTACACAAAAAAAGCCCTGTTGCACAGGCATTCAGAGTCGCCTCTGCCCCGATCCCCAGGAATGAATCACAGCAAATGAGGACAGCTGTGTTCCAGCGGTTTCTGCTACCCCTTCTACTCACCGTATTGGACCCACTCCAGGGCGTTGGGCCGGGAGGCTTCCCACGGCGGCGGTGACCCCTGAGAAAAAGGAGTAACCAAGAACCAGTGGTGCGGAGGCTCCAGTATTCCCACCTCCCCGACCTTTGTGGCGGCCCCCAGGCTCCATCACCCAATTTCCCTGAAAAAGATTGTTTATAGTCTCTCCAGAAACCCTTTTGAGGTGATCCTTTTCCCATGTCCAAGTTTTACCCTCTGGAGAGCGACTCAGAGAAATCCTCCAAATCGCTGCAGGAGCTGGCAGACGAGCAGCGGCTGCGGAAACTATCCACTAGAGGGAGACGGAGGGCGTGAGCGCTGGCCCTCGCTGGCCCCGCCCAGTGCTTCCCAGGCCCTCCCAGCCCG